AATGTTTGATTAAAAGGCTTGGGCAATTCCCCAGTTCATAAAGTCAACCGTTTAGATAGAACGGATTGCTAGATCACGAGCTCAAGCCTACCATCTCTCGGTTAGGACAGAACATTGCTGCACTGGTTCGGCCAGTCACTGGCGCACGCCGCATTCCACCCTCTCAGAGCCGCGGTCTAGACACACTGTTTGATTGGTTTTGGATAGACTCAAAAAACAGGTGTGGAGGGATCAAAGCCCACAAAAATAAACCAAGCTAAACGCCTATGAGAGCATGATTCTGCACCGGTGCAACGGTCTTCATGTGGGTCTTCTGTAGGCGAATAACTGGTGTTCACTGGACTGAACAAGTATCAAAGTCGGAGCACCACCATCGGGCGCCCAGTGGTGGTATGGAGGCCAAAAGCCCATACATTCGTCTACGAGGGCTATGGACACGTTTGGAAAGTGGACGAGAACAGGATTCCGAAGTAGACTCTGTATGGACAGCTGGACACTGAGAAGCGGAACCCTGGCATTATCCGAACACCTCTGTCAGAAGTCCAAGATCTGCGGATATGGATCTCACAAGATGAAAGTAAAAGAAACAAAATGGAAGGCATGGAGGCAAATGACGTAGATGACCCGCTAAATAACACTTGGTTACCACTGTTCACTTGTACGCACTACACTGACAGCCATCAGTAGTACAGGCTGGTAGCTCTAGAACTGCCATCACCCGTTCCCTTCTAATCTTATTCCCTTGCGGTTGCACTGGATACGGAAAGTTCAGGTGTATGTGAATGTGGCTCGGTAAAAACCGTACGTGGCATTACACACTGTGCGTTGGTGTTCAGCGGCGTAACTCTATAGGATAACAAATAAGGAAACGGGTGCCAGCCCATCATAGGCGGAATATCTGGCTAAATAAGCCACGTTAGAAGGATCGATTATGTTCAGCTATCAAGTGATTGTATTCCGTTTTATGCGTGCACTGTTCATGTTCAAATAAGTCAGCTTTTCACTGACAGTGCTCGACTCCAAACACCGTAGACTTCCCACAGAATACTCGCTCACTACTCGATGTCCCCGCGCATCGTATCTTTCCGTCACCCAGAGCGCTGTCACAGTTTCGTCACCCCATTCCCTTGTTTCAATGAACGGATTATTCGTCCGAATGCTGAGCTTACAAACTAGAACTCGGTGTCCAAATCAAGATCGCCATATTGATTAGCCCATCAGCTTGTATCTGACCAATGTACTTTTGGCATACTCAAGCTCAGTCTGGACATGCTAGTCTGTGCGTCACTGAGGCATATTCAGCGTCTGCACGAAAGATAGCAGGTTTCGTAAGTGAAATCGGAAGGAACGGACTTCACATCCATCCGATACGGGCTTGCAATATTTAAACAATTTTAAGATACCTTTGATCCACTCTTACACAGTGAAACAAACTAGAGTACTCGCTCACACACTGAGTTATTGGACATTGCATATGCGATTCATTTGGCTGGATTTCTCACACGAAGGGATTTTGGCATACTTCAGACTAAAGTTCCTCCTTCCCTATTTCGTTCGGGCTACTAAGACTCAGTCAAACACTACAGAACTGGAAATTTCTCGGAAAATACTTCAACAGTTTGTCGAAGCTATCGGTGTTCTTGAGATATGCGTAAACAATACCAACTTGTCATTAAATCTAATAAAATACAGTGTCCCCAGGTTTCTTGGCGGTAAACAGTCTTTAAAAAAGAAGTGTCGCCGGTTGGGTAGTTGAGAAACCGTCAAATTAATTTCTTATATCTTTGTGCTTGCCAAGTAGATTTAGCGTAGATGCATGGATGTTACCTTCATGTTTACACAGCCGCTGCAGAGCACGCACTCGCAATTAGGTACAATTCGGTTCTCTTGGTGAGCTTTTTAGTGACCGTATTCCTGTCTATATTCATGACACAGAATTTGGCATTCAATATTGTTTTCGACAAAGTCTCTTCGGGGTTTTACAGCTGGTTACTGATCATTTAAAAACAGACGGAAACGTACAAATGAACAAAAAATGTCCTGAAATAACAGAATCACCTGTTGAGCACCCATATGATGATTTGGAGCAACGACTCCCGACTTGTCGGTCAAGCGTAATCCCACTAGGTGGGTCATTCACTCTTGCATTCAAAGGGGCGGATAAATGAATATGATTGAGGTAGGCTAAACAGCATCGATAACATGGGATTGCTTAAGTGAGAGAAGCACAGCGCGCGATTTCGATGCAATAGTTGGCCTGGGATGCTGCAGTGAGAAAAGCTATCTCTGGAACGACATTCACCAACAGTATCCAACGGGACTTTGGCTTTCACGCATCTCCCTGTAATAACAAACCTTTGGTGACCATATTGTGGCGACTCGCTTATATCTCACTACATAGAACGGTATGATCCAAAACAAACGCATCGTGTATTCTTATGTGTGCATTCCTCGAATACTTCTGACATGTGTTGTCAGCATGTGTGTATAAAACTTGAAACTGTTTTCGCCTGAGACGCTGAGTGATCTGATATGACGGTGATAATTGACTTCAGTATACCACCAACATCTCACAATGTGCCAACTGTACTTTTTATCTCCTAACCCCAAGATAAAAGTCATCAGCGTCCCGCAAAATGTACCCCTGATGAGAAAGTTCCATTATTTCATAAATCATGCTCAGCATAACCTAAGCTTACACTACTCTTCTTACACACCCTACTAATCAAAACTGATATGAAGAAACTGATATCGTATTCTAACGCAAAACAACGAATCACACAGGGACTTTATCAATCTTACCGATATCTTTCCTGTTCGGTTCGCATCCTCACGACTTGCCAGAGCCCTGGCCACGGGACATATGATGTCCAAACCCTGGCAGGCAAGCGCTCGCCAATATTACAGAATATAGAAGAGAAACAAGGGAAAGCAAAATTAATACATGCCATCAATGCTATGATTCAAACGAGCAATTACAGAATGTATTAATTCTAGAAGATGTGAGCCTTTAGAGTGTCCTAAATGACGACCGTTTTCAGCGGCTTGTAATGGCTCACAGCAAAACTCAACCGTGTGGTAGTCAAACGATGAATCTTGTAAAGAAATTCGGGCATCAAGAACTGATGGAAAGAAGCGAGTAATAGTTGAAATATGAAAGTAGCTGGGAGATAGGGTGGTATTCGGATGATTTCAATAGGGGACTGTTTCTAATGTACCAAACAAAAATGTGCAGGAAACACATTAAGGGTTGTGTTCGCTTGCGATAACACCGGGCCGTTTTACGCGTGCTTAAGAGGCGGATCTTCTGTAGGAAGATGAATGCAATGGCAGAAAATGTATACGCGGCCTGCCTTCAGTTGCTTATTGACCGGTCACTGCCTGGATGTCGACGATTTTGGAGAGGAGGGAGAATTCACCACAGAACAATCACAAGGGCAACTCAGAACACAGTAACATTTCAACAACAAAGACACTCTAATCAACCAGATAGCTGATGGCATTCCCACGTAAATGTGATTGAGCTGTCTCGGTGGGATAGAAGTGTTCAACATCATCTGGCGCCGTCATAAAGGGATTTGCAAAGTAGACAGCAATTAGTGTATGATTAGTTCCTTAAAATTTCTACAACAAAACAAGGATAATGTACAAAGGCAGACCATTGACGAACCTGACAAGTCACCATAGCCACCTTCTCCCTAGGGATCACGCTCGCGAATTCTCGTGCTGAAATTGGCAGCGTTGTTTCGAGTTTATGTACCTTGGTTGTAAAAGGAACATAATTCGAAGCACCATACCTTCCTGAATTTCTTCCAAGAAAAGCGATCTTGTACACTGGCCGGTTACAGAATTCTACAAAGCCCGCATAGTTATCCTAAAGATGATGCGACGAATAATCACTACACATTTTTCAGAGACTCAGTGCAAGTTATGACATGGGCTGTACACACTTCTGCAAGAGTTAAATTTCATATAAACTTTGACCTTATGGTTACCAAATGCAAGTGTGCCAGAAATCAACCTACACGCGCGTATCCCTATTCCAAAAGCATTCGATGTTTTACTCATTGGCGTACAGAAGTTCGACGATAAGAAACCGCCGCGTATCAAGTGACACCAAATTAACGGCAATAAGGTGAAAATAGGGCTCGACGGTGTTCGTAGCAGTGCAAATCTACTTGTGGCCTAACAGTTGCCGAGTAGCAATAATAGCTTTCGAATTTTTGACTTGAGAACATCACCTAACCGGGCTTATTCACTATATAGATTCGTAAGATGTGGGAGATTCTGAATGATCAGAAAAAATACTCAGGGTGCGATTCTTGAACATGATGCGGTTGAACTGAAACTAAGATTGTCTGGAGTTACAAACCCTAGTGGAAGTTGGATTTATTAGTGAAACTATTGCTAGGTCCTTAAGCGCGAGAGATAAACAGCTGCCACAGCTTTACAACGTTAATATACCAATCTTGTAGATAGCAAATTCAGCTAAGCAAGAACTATAAATGTACTTTGTGCAGATACTGAAACTGAAGGATGGTCTCAAACTGGCAGTTCTGATATTCCTGTTGAATGTCTAATGCCAACAACTGTCAAGTCTGGACATCACACCATTGTTCACAAGTGTGATCACACGTGAAACTGTAGGATTGCTGCGTGATTTCGTACAACAACATCAGCCCTGGGATTCCAGCACCGGAAATAATACATCTACTGCTGTTTTCCACACAGAATGTGAATCGTGTCTTTCTAGGTTGGTGGTAAAAACAAGACAAGTGACAGTGAAAAAGGCCATGTGTTGACAGACCCAATCATGATTAAAAATTGGAATGCGACTGGAAGATCACATTTGGTGAGGGAAATTTACCGAAGTTAAGTAGATGATATATTAATGGCCAAGGAATCGATTCAAGGAGCAATCTTGATGTTCCAGGTTCCGAACGCCGTTCGCCAAAACATTAAGTTAACGGATGAGAAGAAGATGAACTCCTGTCCTAATGTCTTGCTGAGGCGCTAAACAACAAAACACTCCGTTGTCAGTCCAGCGAAAGAGAACTTGGACCGATCAGTATCCCACTTCTACAGTTTTGTGCCGTTTAGCTGAAACCTCGTGTAATAGAGTAAAAAGGACCTCATCGGACAATGAAATTAGGTATCGGGAGGAATATTTCACCCAGATGGATACTCGTCAGATTTCTCAAGGAATCAGCGTATTGTGGGCGAGGAAGTAGGCGATCTTAAACCAGTAGTTTTCCTGAAGTTGAAACTCAGAGACGATTTGGGTGAGTGTTTAACCTTAGCTGCAAAAGACGAATGAACTAAAGTTACACAGCCAGAGTTGCATGCGTAAACAGAAGGAACTGGTCACACCCTTGTTGACCGGTTCTTTTCGACCTTTTGCTGGTGAAGACCTTCCCTATTTTGGTTGGTTATCTGGCACTGTTTTGTAGCATACAACCAAAGAATACATCCGATAAACCGTGCAGCAGCTTCCTAATCTGTGCTTTGTCCGACTTACTTAATTTGAAAAGTTTAAAGGTTCCAAATGTGCCGGTCAACCGGCGGCCTTCAAATCTAAACCTTACCCTCGAAAACCACTGAATTTCCCTGCTTTTGTAAGCCTGAAAAGATGTGCTACACCCTCTGAGGAGAGCAATGAACAATTCTTTGGGAAGCAAATCTTTGGATTATCTAGGAGGATAATTGTGCGACCATCACAGGGATACTATACAATTCTGACGAGGAATGTTGGATTTAAAACCTTCCCCTTTGGTGGGAAACCTTTCTGTGGAGTCCTTTTTGGCTGAATACCATTGAAATTCGCAGTAAAACTCCTGTGTCTATGGCCTCTTCAACAGTGTTATGCCTCTTATTTGGCTTCTTGAAAAACATTGAGGCGGTTGATGAGTTTCAAGCATGTTGTTATTATTCGTTGTCGCTATTTTGCCTTTGACTTCTTGCTGTCCTGCCCGATCAACTCCTGCAGAAAATTTCACATAAAAACTAGAGCAAGACAAACTGTGAAAACAAAAACCCATGGTCAAGTTCGACGGATATCAAATAAGTGCGCCTAATGAAGTTACGGCGAGATAACTTCTGAGGTATAATTAGTGACAGATCTTGAGAAGAAAACATCAAATAATAAGTTGAAGGAAGTTTGCTCACAAGTTCCAGAACGGCGAGATAACTTCTGAGGTATAATTAGTGACAGATCTTGAGAAGAAAACATCAAATAATAAGTATGAAGGAAGTTGCTCACAAAGTTGCAGAAATATCTTCGACAGCCCACGACCGGTTTCGCCCTTATTGGGGCTCATCAAGTCGGCGCGGTTCCCGGGTTTTGTCAACCTTGTGTTCCACTTGAACCTAGATTGGATTGATTTCGACAAATGCACTCATTTGCAAATCAGTTTGGTCTTCACGGGAGACTCTAGTAAATTTCTCGTTTATGATGTCCTCCAAATGAGTTTGCGGCACAAAGAACTCCTCATGTTTCAGTTGGTACGATATTCAAGATGTCGTTGTGCACTTTTGTAAGGGAAACTACTCACAAGTTTTCTGAAAATTCTCTCACAGCCGACGACCGGTTTCGTCCTTCTTGGAGCCCATCAAGTACGTGAAGTTCTCAAGGTTTCATCAACCGTATGTTTAATTGAACTTTTCGACTAGATTTCTGCGTGAAAATATACTGCGACATCTCGAGTATCGTGCGAACTGAAACATGAGGCGGCTTTCGTGCAGTGCATTCAGTTAGAGAACATCATAAACGAGAGATTTATTTCAATCATCCGTGAAAACCAAACTGATTTGCGAATGAGCATGTCTGCCAAATAATAAGTAGCCTTTAGTTGGGGAGAGGTGGGTGAAAAGGAAGGATACGACAACGTCCACTCTAACCGACAAAGCTACACCCAAACAGAAGCATTTAAAAAACTACTCGTAACGTCGCTGTAATCTCTTCAATAACGGCGTTGTGAGTAGTTTACTCCAAGAAAATATACGGTGATATCCTGTATATCCTGAAACAAGAGAACCTGGTACAGTGCATTCAGTTGATGAATATCACCGACCAGAGATTCGGCTGGGATTCATTTAGGTTAACCACGGAAGCCAAACTCATGTGCAGATGGGCGTATTTCGAGAAGCATATGCTTTCGATAAATAACTACTCAAAACATGTGAGTTGTGTGGTCGTTTGATGTAGGATCGTGATGACAGATAGAACTTGCAAGTACGTTTGAAACTTTTTGAAACCTCTGGATTCTCGGATACTAAAAGCCAACTGAGCTAGCACGCGGTATATTGCTGTTCATGGTTTGGACAGCCAAAAGTCTATTCTTCCCTTGTATAACTTATATTGAGACTATACATCACAGCAGTGTCTAACTTCTCCTGGACATATCAAGACATAAAAGACGATCGCAATTTCTTAAAAACCGACCATTCAACGTGCAACAGCACTCATGTAGAATTTTATGCGATCAGTGGATGAAGTAAGTGAGCAAACTTCACATATGTGAGCTGGATAGGGCGATAGGTCGACTGATATTGTGATGACAGTTCACGTAGTACTCCGAGTGCACGCACATTCAGCACACAATCAGCGGTATTTTATCGATGTTTCAGTTAAGCCGTTATAACGACGATGCCGTAAACTGACTATTCACTACAGCAGACAGTTTGTGTAAATTTCACCCATGGATACCAATATTGCAAAAACTGAAGTCTCGAAAAATGCCATACGCTATACCACGTATCAAAACACAGTAAGATACTGATTTATAGGTCTAAAAGCTTGTTACAAAAGACGTCATTTTTTGCACGACTTCAACAAATTTGGCAATGTTACTGTTTGAAAAACTCCTGGTTGTCCGGAGATGCAAATTAAAATACTTCAA